TTGCTGAGTATCTTACCAAGTTGCTGAGACTGACCTCAAACTTGCTATCTTCCTGCCTCAGTCTCCCAAATCACAGTGATCATAGGCATGAGCTACCATGCCTGGCTATTGTTATACAGTATTGTGAAGGGAATAAAAGCAAGAAAGTCTGTAGAGATGTAATTTTTTTCTATCTGGTTGAGTCTGTAAATATGGGACCCTTGGATACAGAGGACTAATAACTATAATTAATTCTAGAGATCATTAAAGTCATCCTAATGTAGCTAACCACACGCAGACTTTGAGCATGCATCTGTTGTTTCTGTTATCTTTATTCTGGTAAAAGGACACTAGGACCCTTTAAGCAGTACTCTTCCAATTTTCTTTGCTGTGCAAAAAAAAAAGTCTAGATTGAATGATGTTGAATGTGATACATAGTTCAGGCACATCGATTGTTATTTTTTTATTGCTCCAGCCTTACTCAAAATTTTATGGAGAAGTAAAATGTTCACCTTGAGTTTCTGCCAATCCTCTTATCACAGTGGCTTTTATCCAAGAATGTGCATAAGAATAACCTATGAAACCTTTAGATGTAGGTGCCATGGTCATATAATTTTTTTTAATATTTATTTTTTAGTTATAGGTGGACACAATATCTTTTTTTATTTATTTTTTTAAATGTGGTGCTGAGTATAGAGCTCAGTGCTCATGCATGCTAGGTGAGCACACTAGGCGAGACCTCTACCTCTAAGCCACAACCCCAGTCCCATATCATTTTTTGCAATAATAAAAAATTGAGGGTTGAGGTTGTGGCTCAGTGGTGAAGCACTTGCCTAGCACATGTGAGGCCTGGGTTCTATCTTCAGCACCACATAAAAATAAATAAATAAAATAAAGCTATTGTGTCTATCTACAACTAAAAAATATTTTTTAAAAAATTGACAACATCCTAAGTTATATAAGTAAATAAAAGTATTTTTTGTATATTTTGTCCATAAAATGGTATATTATGACAGAGTTGAAATAGAAAATTTTAAGGAACTAGGTCAACAATACATTGCAGTGTATAAAAAGGCAAGTTCAAGAATTGTTATGTCTGTTTTCACATTTGTAGCTATGTTTATAGAAAAACAAAAACATGCTTTGATGTTTGATGGGCCAGGGAATTGGCGCGGTGGGGGTGGGGGGGTGGGGGAGTGCACCAAGGATTGAACCCAGTGGGACTTAACCTCTGGGCCACATCCCCAGCCGTTTTTATTTTTAATTTTTATTTACTTATTTATATTTGGAGGCGGTTTACCGGGCATTGAACTCAGGGGCACTCACTCCGCTGCTGAGTCACACCCCTAGCCCTATTTTGAAATTTATTAGAGACAGGGTCTCACTGAGTTGTTTAGCGCCTTGCTAAATTGCTAGGGCTGGCTTTGAACTTGTGATCCTCCTGCTTCCACCTCCCAATCCAAGCCACTGGTATTACAGATGTGCACCAGTACCCCACTTATTTTGTATTTTGAGACAGGGTCTTGCTGAGTTGCTTAGGGCCTCACTAAATTGCTAAGACTGTCCTCTAACTTAGGATCCTTCTGCCTCAGCCTCCTGAGCCACTAGGATTACAGTTGTGTGCCACTGTACCCAGCAGGCCAGAGAACTTTTGATTTCCTGTATTATGTATTTTTATAATTGAATGTGAACATATATATTATTTATTTTACAGGTAGATAAAAAACAAAAACAATATCATTCTAAACAAAATGCAAGGGCTGGGGTTATGGCTTAGCGGTAGAGCGCTCGCCTCGCACCTGCAAGGCCCTGGGTTCAATCCTCAGCACCACATATAAATAAATAAAATAAAGTTATCGTGTCCAACTACAACTACAAAAAATAAATATTTAAAAAAATGCACCTATTGTTTTCTGATAATGTGGGTTGGAAATGAGGTCTGGGTGCCTGTAATTTTTTGTTCTTTTTCCCTTTGGTGGTGGTGGATAGTATTGGATATTGAACCCAAGGGTGCTCAACTCCTGAGTTACATTCCCAGCTCTCTTTATTTTTTTTTATTTTGAGACAGGCCTGTAATCCCAGAGACTAGGGAGGCTGACTTCAAACTTGTGATCCTCCTCCCTCGGCCTCCCTAGTCTCTGGAATTACAGGCTGATGCCTCTACACCTGACTTAGATACTTAAATTTCTAATTAAACAATGGCTAGTTGAACTTGTGGGTTCTATTCCTTTCCAAAAGCCCACATGACTGTTGGTAAAGGAATTTACTCTTTGGAGGTAGGTGCTGGAGTGAGCTGGTTAAGAAATCTTGGAAGGAAGTGGGAGTCTGTTTTCTTCATTTTTCCTCTTCTTGAGTTCCTCTTAGGACAATGAGCAAATAAGTGAGTTAAGGTGAAATTCAAGAGAGCTGGGCACCGGGGTGCATACCTGTAACATCAGTGACTGAGGAGGCTGAAGCAGGAGGATCACAAGTTTGGGGTCAGCCCCAGCAACTTAGTGAGGCCCTAAGCCACTTAGTGAGACTCTTTCTCAAAATAAAAAATAAAAAGATCTGGGGATGTGGCTCCATGGCAGGGTGTGGCAGAGTGTCCACAGCTTAAGAAAAAAACAAAGAGGGGCTGGGGATGTAGCTCAAGCGGTAGCGCGCTCGCCTGGAATGCATGAGACCCGGGTTCGATCCTCAGCACCACATACAAACAACGATGTTGTATCCGCCAAAAACTAAAAAATAAAATATAAAAAAGAAAAAGAAAAAAACAAAGAAAGTCAAGAGTGTTGTTGTCTTTTTGAGATGGCTTCCCACTATGTTGCCCAGGCTGGCCTTGAACTCCTTGGAAGAGGTTATGAATGTTCCGTAACCCATGCTTCCCTCCATCTAATAAAAAAAAAAAATTGTCTGTTTCCAAGTGCAACTAATATAGAGAATTTTAATAGGTCTTGTTATCTAAAGATGATTGTCAGTTTATTTTTCTTAGCACTATAACCAAAGACTCCCCTTCACCTGACTGAACAGAAGCAAACAAGGAGTGGTGCTTGTTTTGGGGGAGAAAACACTGCTGTGTAAATAACTTCCTCCAAACTAGCATTCAGAGAACATTGACCACCACCACTACCCACCCACTGGGGATTCAGTCTATTGGTATTGTGCTGCTGAGCTAGCTCCCCAGCCCTTTTATTTTGAGACAGAGTCTTTCTTCTACATTGCCAAGACTGGCCTTAGACTTGGGATCTTCCTGCTTTAGCCTCTCAAGTCACTGGAATTATAGACATGGGCCATTTCCCCTGGCTCCAGAAACATTATTTTTTGCCGCTCCACAAGAATTCGGAATATGTTTATTCTGAAAAAGTATTTGATTTTTTTCTTACCAGATATTAAGTTTTAGGTAGGCAGGAACCATTTCTTACTCTCTTGAATCTCTAGCATTCAGCACAATGCCTGGAGTTTTCTAGTAGCCAAACAAATGTTTGTTTTTTAAGTCAAGCATTGTTCGAAGATGCTGACATGGGAATAACTCATAAGAATGTAAACTTGAACATCAGTAAATGGTATAACTGATTCATAATAAAGATCCTGATATTTATGAAAAGTGTGATTATTGTGTGTAGATGATGTGTGAGTGTGAGTGTGTGTGTGTATGTGTATGCCAGTTTTTTAAAAAGTTTTTAGGAGTTCATTTCTTTCCCTCCCTCCTCCCACCTTTCTAGTTGGGGAGTTTGGTATTATCTTCAACTCATTCAGAGTAATAATCCCTCTTCTTGTCTTGTATTATCCACCATCTTCTTAATTCTTATATTTGATTCTGGGCAACTTCCATACAGTTCTAGATTTTGACCACTTTTGACCACTTTTGTCTTATTGATATCTTACAGCGCCATCTGCTGACACAAATTGGTAGTTAAAGGCTTTAAGCCCACCAGAAAATAGATTTATAGGAAACTAGAATTATAACACTAAAAAAAAATCTTAGATGTTACCCAACTTGTATTCAAAAAAGAATAAATTCAGATTATATTTGTGATAGTTACCTTTCTTTGCCACTCATGTATATTTGTTGCATTGCTCCAGCTTAAAGAATTTCATGGTCATTCTGGTATTTTTGTGTTCCTCAGTTTTAGAAATATATGATGAGATAAATTAAATAGAATAAGTTAATAAACTTGTGAATTTTTATGGTATTATTCAGGAAAGACAATATGAAGAATAAGGGCACTTTTCAAAGGAGTATTTTAACAGTACAGAATGGGTTTGATTTATATGTACGGAAAGAAAAAAATAAAATAGATATTCAATAGGACAAGCTGTTTCCCACAGTAAAAATTCAGATTTGGCATCATAATGACAGGAATTCAGCCAGCCAGGTATGATGGAACATCCTGTAATCCCAGCAACTCAGAAGGCTGAGGCAGGAAGACTACAAATTTGAAGCCAGCCTCAGCAACTTAATGAGACACTGCCTCAAAACAAAAACTAAAAGGGGCTGGGGATGTAGATTAGTGGTAGAGCACCCATGGGTTCAATCTCCAGTACCAGGGGGGAAAAATACACATACATCAAACTTATACATATATAATTTTCTCACCCATACTTTTTCCTATTCTCTGGATGAATTCCTCACCACACCCTGGTTCTGGGGACTGAACTCAGGGTTTCTTTATCACAGAGCTACATTCTAAGCCCTTTGTATTTTTCATTTTGAGAGAGTTCTCATTAAGTTTCCATGACTGACCTTGAGCTTGGGATCCTCCTGCCTTAGCCTTCCTGGTTGCTGGGATTACAGGCATGCACCACCATTTTTTAGGATTGCTTTACTTTCAATTTAATACAGTGTTTTAGACACCATGCTTTATGGTAAGCGGTATCAGGAGTTCTAAATTAGAAAGAATGGGTATAAAAGTTTTAAATGGATGTGCAAGAGTAAAGAAGTTTTGCTATGAGATTAGATGGGGCTAACATTCTAGCTAAACATCAGAAAACTTCAGTCAAGTGTCCTGATTTCCTTTTTATTTTCTTTATCATTTTAGCAGCGTCACCCTTTACACCAGAAAGCTGGCGGGCGCTATGGGGAAAAAACAAAATAAGAAGAAAGTAGAGGAGGTACTAGAAGAAGAAGAAGAGGAATATGTGGTGGAAAAAGTTCTCGATCGTCGGGTTGTAAAGGGCAAAGTGGAGTACCTCCTAAAGTGGAAAGGTTTCTCCGAGTAAGTTTCATTAACACAGGTAAATTTGTCACCAGCTATTTGTCAGGAGTTTTGTGATTTGTTGCCACTAATTCTGTGATGGATACGTTTTGACTCAGTGGCTTATAGTCTGATGAGGAATAAACCTATGGGCTGCACAAAGTGATCCAAGATTGAGGTTTCTTTTTTTCTCTTCTTTTTTTTTTTTTCCATTTTGAGACAGGGTCTCACTAAGTCACATAGGGCCTTGCTAATAAGTTGCTGAGACTGGCCTCAAACTTGGGATCCTCCTGCCTCAACCTCCTGAGTTGCTGGGATTACAGTGTGTGCCACTGCACCCAGCGTAAGATTGATTTCTGAGGAGCAGTTCTGTGTGTGGCTATAGTCCAGTCCACATTTGCAGAGAAAAATAATCTTTGAAGAGGTCAAGTTTCTAAGCTTTCAGTATACTGAAAAGTCTCCCACGCTCCAGGAAAATTCTTTTGCAAGTTCACCTGCTGTCCTCCTCTTGTGCTTGTCCTTATATGATTTTGGTTACTCTGAGTAGAAAATATGACTCTCTTTGCCTTCTGGTTTCAGTGAGGACAATACATGGGAGCCAGAAGAGAACCTGGATTGTCCCGACCTCATTGCTGAGTTTCTACAGTCACAGAAAACAGCACATGAGACAGATAAATCGGAGGGCGGCAAGCGTAAAGCTGATTCGGATTCTGAAGATAAGGGAGAAGAGAGCAAACCAAAGAAGAAAAAAGAAGAGGTAAGGCTAGAAGTAAAAATTTTCACTATCCCAGAATTTATACTTCTATCAAGCCAAAGTCTAGATAGATAATTTTAACTTTTCTTGTCCCTCTTGAATTTTAGCAGACATCTCTTCTCAGTCCTTCTGAAATCTTAGACATGCTAATGCTTGCAGAATGTTTGGGTGTACTCTTGTGAAGCCCCACGATCTATTCTTAACTTTTTCTCCATGATTCAGGAACAATATTCGTAGCATTTATTGGGGGCAAATAGAAAGGCAAGTGAATTCATTCCTGTGAATAGCTTTTCAGTATTTGATCATTAAAGATTGAAGTAGTTATTTTGACTTATTCAACACCTTAAAGTAAATGCCTTTGAGGATGAGCAGATAGTTGTAAATATTTATTTTACAACTACGTGTATCCCTTTTCACATATGGAAGGACCGCAAGCACTTCAAACCTCAATAAAAAGGATTCTTAAAGGTTGTTGCTTGGAATCAAAGTATTAGTGAAATATTGACAGAGGAGTTTATAAGCTGAGCATGCAAGTGCACACCCTTAATCCTAGAGATTCAGGAGCCCAAGGCAGATGAATGGCAAGTTTAAGGCTAGCCTGGGCAGTTTAGCAAAACCCTGTCTCAAAATAAAAAAGGCTCTGAGGGTGTAGCTCAGTTGTAGAATTCCCCTGAGTTTAACCCCCAGTACTACAAAGAAGAAAGGGTGCAGGGTTAATCTGTGATTACATTACTTACAGATACTGGAGTGACTTTATTCAGGATAACAGTTCCATATAGATAAAATTGTTCTACCCATCTGGTTTTTACAGTCTGAAAAGCCACGGGGCTTTGCCCGGGGTTTGGAGCCGGAGCGGATTATTGGAGCTACAGACTCCAGTGGAGAGCTCATGTTCCTGATGAAATGGTGAGTCTGCCAGTGGCTCTATGTGGTTGTTTTTTTCCTTTTCCCCATCTGTTCCATGCCAGAGGAAAAGAGTTGGACCTTCGAAATTCCAGTCGCCCAGTTGTGAAATCTTTAAGATGGCATAGTCCTTCGATAGTGACCCTCGGCCTGACTGCCAATCCTGGACACTCATGAGTTACAGGTAGGGGCCCTTAGGATTCTCAGATCTTTGCGGGGTTTTTGGTTTTTTTGGTTTTTGGTTTTTTGTTGTTTTGTTGTTTCGTTTTTTGGTTTGTTTTTGGTTTTGTTTTTTGGAGATAGGAGAAAATCTAGAGAGCTTTTGGGTAGGAATCACATCGGTTCTGAAAATTAAAAGGAAAGAATTATGAAATGTGATAGGACCATCCTCCCCCTCTGCCACTTCCTTAATGAGGATCAGGCTGGCCATAGGACCACAGTGTCTGTTAAACTTTTTAAGGTTGGCAGACATTGTGAGTAGCTTCTTCCTCTGTAGATTCTGAAATTCCAGAATTAGCCAGCAGGGGTCAGCAAGTCCCCTTTACTATTACCGGGTGTACTGTAACCTGCTATTTTTAATTGTAAATATAAACACTAGTGGTAGTAATACAGATATGTGTCACTTAACGACAGGGACACGTTCTAAGAACTCGATCATTAGATAATTTCATTATTGTGCAACCATCATAGAGCATACTTACACAAACCTAGATGGAACAGGTTAGTTACTTGATATGTCCTGTTGAGGCAGTCAAGAGACAAAGCTATGTGACATGGCATACTATTCTACAGGAAACTTTTTTTATAAATAGGAGTACATGTAACACAATCATTTATTACCAAATATTACATGACTGGCAGCACCGTGGGTTTGTTTACACCAGTATCACCACAAATACATGGCTAGTGGGTTATGCACTACTATGCCGCTAGATGATAAGAATTTTTCCATGTACCACTATGATTTTACGAGGCAACCTTTATATATATGTGGTCTGTCATCGACTGAAACATCATCATGCAGTATATGACTGTACTCCATGAAACAACTAATGAAGTTACTCGGAATCTTAAGAACTATATTTAATCCCAAAATTCTCTACAGTTTTCCTACTTTCTGCCCAAAGGGAAACCTTTCTTTTTATTGCTGGTTGAAAATGCTTATGTCTACTTTTTTCTCCAGAGTGGATCTCATTCATTGTTATTAAAATACAAAAATAGTCTGGGCGCAGTGGCACATGCCTGTAATTCCAGCAATGTAGGTTTACAGTGGAAGTTTCAACGGGGTGTGTATGTGTATAAATAAACAAAAGTTAGGGCTGAAAGTATGACTTGGTAAGACTCTGGGTTCATTCTTTACCACCAAAGGGGGAAAAAATTGTTGGGGAATAATTCTAAACCCTTGTCAATAAAAGCAGCATTCTCAGGGTTTTGTCCTTGTGCCTATCACCTCTGAAATTCAATCCATACCAGTTCTTCTCCCTTAGAAGATGGTTAGAGAGGCCTACCTTTAACACCACCAAAGAAAGGCCTATGTCACAACTAATCCTCTATTTTCTTTTTGTGCATCCCCTAGTTGCTTATTAATCTAACCCTGTTTTTATCTGATTTTATTGCTAGCCTGTTGGTACTAGGGATTGAACCCAGGGGTGCTCTACTACTGAGCTATATTCCCGGCCCTTTTTATTTTTTTTCTTTTGAGATAGGGTTTGCTAAGTTGCTTAGGGCCTGCTGAATCGCTGAGGCTGGCTTTGAACTGTATTCTTCCAAGTCAGGACTCAGCCCCGCAAGCTGCTGGGATTACAGGTGTGCACCACCATACCCAGAATGGAAAAGTTCAATTCTCAGGTGTTGTTTATGGGGAAAAAGACTTGATATTAGGAGTTAAGTCTAGCTAGAATGTACTTTCTCTACATGAGTTTTAGTAATCTACTATCACTATATTGCTTAAGATTGAATTTTTTTCTTTGGTTGATACACTACTGTGTCCACCAGTTAAAATTGGATGCTGATTATAAAACCAAATTTAATTTAAAAAGTGATTTTTTTTCTGGGAGTGGAGGTGTAACTTAGTGAGAAATTGCTTACCTAGCATGGGAAAGGCCCTGGGTTCTATCCCCAACACCACAAAATGGGGGGTTGGTATTGGAAAATCTGGGAACAGTGGTAATTCCAGCAATTGGGGAATCTGAGGTGGGAGGATCACAGATTCAAGACTAGCCTCAGAAATTTAACAAGGCCCTAAGCAATTTAGCAAAATTGCAGAAAACAAAATAAAAAAGGTTGTAACTGATGAATCACCTCTGGGTTCAACCCTTGGTTCCCAAAAAGAGGAGGGGGGGGGAAAACATAAAAAGTGATTTTCATGCCAGTAACAGTTGGCACATGTGATGTGGCTCAGTGGTTGAGTGCCCCTAAGATCAATCCCTAGTACTAAAAAAAATAAATAAAGTGATTTTCCTGGACACTGGAGATAGTTGTTCATTTCTGAAAACAGCAAATGGCAGGGATGCTGCTGGGGATTTAATCCAAGGGAATTCTACCACTGAGGTACATCCCTAGCACCTTTTTATTTTTGAGAAACAGTCTTGCTAATTTGCCCAGGCTGGCCTCGAACTTGTGATCCTCCTGCCTCAAGGTCCCTAGTTGTTGAGATTACAGGTGTACACCACCATGCCCAGCTATGAAAATTGCAAATATGTATATGCCTGTGAAGTGACTTACTTTACCTTAGAAGGCATTGTCAGCAGAGGGCAGCTTGCTTCATATTACCCATACTGTTACAGTCCATTTCCCTCTCATTCTTTTGGTTGTTGATCAAAAAACCTACCTTATCAACTTATTCTTCTCTGGTTCCATGGGGCTGTGGGCTCCAGTTTCCTGTTAGGTTTCTGGAGGTTTGGGGTAGTACTTTGTCAGAGATGCCATCATATATATGCTGCATGCCCTGTGCTACTTCCTTACCTGGGATATTTCCAGTGACTAAAATATAAGAGTTTACTTCTAATTCCCATATAATGTGTGTGATTTTCAAATTTTGAAACACTCTAAAATTTGTAAAAATTAGAAAATTACACAACAGCCTCTCTTTAAACTCCCATGTTGAAGCACTGTTTAAAGACACCTGCAGGGCTGGGGTTGTGGCTCAGTGGAAGAGCGCTTGCCTGGCACGTTCGAGGCACTGGGTTCGATCCCTAGCACCTAAATAAATAAATAAATAAATATAAAGGTATTTACAACTAAAAAAAAACACATGCAGGTTGTATATGGATAGCATTTGGTAATGTCAAACAGTATAATTATGAGTAAGCAAGAAAATGCCAGATTGGTATTAAATCCTGTTTCAAAGCCAAGATCTCTCTGTGGCCTCATATTTGATGAGATGTGACTTTTGGAACATGTAGTAGCATCTTTCTTCAGAAATTCTAGAGTCATACCTTTTTTTGGCCTTTCATAGAGGTTCAGTGTGATGGATTCAGTCAGTTGACCTTGCTTTTGACAAATCCCCAGAGAGGGTTTTCAATAAGGGAGGATTTCTGATGTCACTTGACTGATAGCTGCCAATAAATGCTGCTTGAACCACATTTTCACCCTTCTTTAACCTGTTTCTGGAATTTATGTTTTTAAAGCCCTATCTCCAAGTTAAGTGGCTACCAGCAGTTGGTCTCAAAGTCTCTCTGTGCTTTGTTCTGCAGGAAAAACTCTGATGAGGCTGACCTGGTCCCTGCCAAGGAAGCCAATGTCAAGTGCCCACAGGTTGTCATATCCTTCTATGAGGAAAGGCTGACGTGGCATTCCTACCCCTCGGAGGATGATGATAAAAAAGATGACAAGAATTAACTCTTCTGAGTACCAGCCCCTGTCGCCTGTGACTGTGGGTTTAAGTGGGGAGGGAAGGAGTTCTACTTGTCTTGACACCATAAAGGTGGCTTGAGAAGATGTCCTTTGAAGAAACAGTCTAGTTTCTGTGCCCTGCAGCAGCCCAAGTGCTTTAAAGCCGTTCCAAGCTGTATAGTTTGCACACCCATCCCAGTGGAGGGGAAAGGGGTAAGTGTTTCAAGGCAACCCATTCTGCACTTTATTGAGAAAAGCAAAGGGCCTTCTATGAAGGACAAAATTTGCAGAATTGGGTGTGTGGGAAGGCAAAAAATACTGTTGATCTTCAAAGAGCATCTCCACAACCCACAGCCTTTCTTCCCAATAGTGTTAATTCTGCATTTTTACAGCGTAGCATGTGTGTAGTTACTGGTGTATTATTTGGGGTGGGAGGGATTAGGCAGGGAAGAAGGGAGATGCATAGATCATTTTCTTTAAAATTTGGGGCCTGACTGGGTGAAACAATGGAAAGAACGAGTAACTAATGATTTGGTTCTATGTCCAGAATATTTTACCTTATTCAAAAAAAAAAAAAAAAAGTCATTGGCACCATAAATGAGGACTGTGAGAGACTGTTTAAAAGCTGTGAAAGCCTGAAACCTATAAGCCAAGGTGTTCCCTGCCTGAGTTAATGTTCCCCACAAAGGACTAAGCCAGTTCCTAAGTTACCAAAGCTGCCATTCTGGAGATAGAAACTGACTGAGGTGGGAAGGTCTTTTATTGGAGAGTATACACAGGCAGATTATTCTGTCTTAGAGGTGCTAATTCTTGCAATCAGACAAAAAGACCCTTTCTTTTCCAGTTATGAACTTATAAATAAAATCAGCTTGTCCATCTAAGCCACTGGCTAAAGTACTAGGGGAGGGGCCAAAGGGGTACAGGAAATGGAAGAGTAGGGAAAGAGGAGGGCCCACACTCGGGTTGGTAACTGTTGGAGCCTCTGCTTTTTAAACTTTGAACTCTGAAACCATAAGTGGCAGAGTTCAGTCACTGACAGCACAAGTTTCATTAGTCAATTCAAAGGTTGAGTGGTTTCAAAAAGCCCTGGTCTCAGGAGATTAGCTTTCATATTGGGGCAGTGGTTCACTTTAAACACATTGTTTAATTTTTTTTTTTTTTTTTTGAAGAAAAAAAATATTATAAATTAACTGATACCCAAAATGCTGTCTTGAATCATGAAATCAAAGTTCTTGATATCATCTAGACCTGCATCTAGAGCTGCATTGTAAAATCTTTTTAGGCATGTATTAGGTTTCTGTGAGATTTTTCTTTAATTGTAAACTTCATACACACTGTCAGTTTTTGTCTTAATAAAACTATAGATTTATAATCCCTGATTTCTGTCTTGATTAAGTCTTACCACAAACCTTTCTTGCCATTTTATCAGCCTGTTGGAGATGGCTTCCACACTTGGATGGTTTTATTTCTTGAACACTATACTGAAAATCTGATGTCTGGGCTTTAATTTATTTAATAACTACTTATTGAGCTGCAGATATTGTAAAAATTGTCATTTTTTATCATTATTGAAAGTTTATTTATTAAGCATTCTGACCAGATAACATTTAAAAACTATGATATATTTGGAAACATGGATTTTATGAGGTAGGTTTAGGTCTGGCTCTGGTATGTAATAGATTATGTGACATTTTCTAAAAATCACCTCCAAAATTTTCAGGAACCAGCACTGTGTTTGAGCATTGAATTGAATGATCATTTGTTTCTTACTGTTATTTTCTGCCTAAAATTTTACAGCCAAAAAGGGACTGGACTCTTGTCATTTTTAAAAAAGGAAATTTCTCAGTGGTAGAACACCATACCTAGCATGTGTGAGGTCCTGGGTTGGGGAGAGTAGGGTTTTCATTGAGATCAGATCAATGTAACAGTTGAGCTTTGCTCACCAGTACTAAGCATTGGTTTCAAATAAACTGATGTGTAGGTACTTTTTTTTCAAACAGCCTCCTAAGGAAAGTTTTGGGGGAGATGTAAGTTAAGTTTTTGAAACTGGAGACCCTTTCTGTTCAGAGGCCTGAGTGTGTCCTTGTAGGTGACAGCACAGCAATCAGTGGCTGCTGAGAGTTTTGGTAAGATGGGTAGAGGCATTCTGCGTATGGATGTATGAGTGTGTTTTGCTGGGCTAGGCAACTGAACCCAGGGGTACTCTGCCACTGAGCTACATCCCATCACTTTTTTGACACAGGATTGCACTGAGTTGTCCTTCAAACTTATGATCCTCCAGCCTCTGCCTCCTTGGTAGTTGTGATTATAGTGCCACCACTCCCAGCTTCTGGATCTGTTCTGTACCATCAGATGTACTGAAGAGAGACTGCAGCCTTGATACATATCCAATGGACTGCTATTCAATTTTAGCTGTTTGGACTCAACTTCACCATCATTTCTGGCATTTCTGACCTGTTTTTAAAACCATATCATTCTTCAGGAAAAACATTAAAATTGATGTGCATGCAGTGAATGCTGAGCTGAAGATGAATAATTCTTATTAAGTGATAGTTGTGGCCAAAATGTTAGAAATAAATATAAAAAGACAATTTAAGAAAATTTTTATTTTGAAACAGGGTCTAGCTAAATTGCTGAATTTACAATACTCCTGCCTCAGCCTACTGAGTAGCTGGGATCACAGGTGGTGCATCACCTTGCTCAGCTACAAGAGATCTTGTCTGCTCTAGGGAATGTTCTCCAGAAAACATTTCTTGGGGCAGTGTAGAAATGTGCGTTGGCTGGCTTTCATGATATTGCACCATCATAGACCACTCTTGTCCAGGAGCTGAGGAGGAGGTATATTATTACCTTGGTTGCTACTAGAAAAGCTTACTAGTAAAAATCTTGCTCCTGTAGTTTCTTCAGTTGAGCTTCTATTTAGTATTTTAAGTGGACAATACAACCACAGAAACACCCTTTTAAAACTGACAGGACTGAGAAGTGATGGTTTCAGTTTCTTCATTAATGTCGTTTGAAAGGTTTTGTTTGCTTTTGTGACATAGGGGACTGAACTCAGGGGTGTACTACCATTGACCCACATCCCTAACCCTTTGAGGCAGGGTCTAGCTAACCCAGACAGGTCTTGAACTTACCTCAGCCTCCCAAATTGCTTGAGTTACAGGCATGCATTACCACACCCAGTTTGTTTGAAAGTTTTGATCACCAATTTTAGAAGTAGCTGAATTTTTATTTTTAGAAAATATATTCCAGAACTTAATTTTGTGGTGGCCATATTCAGCTTCCTTTGATTTTTAAATTTTGTGCTCTGTATGTCTTTATGGTCTATGGCATTGGGAATCTGTATTATAAAGCAGTTATTTCTCTTATAGTAAAATGGGAAATAAGATGAATTTGCTACTCCAGAATATTTCAAAACTGGAACTCTGAAATCCACATCTAGCTCTTTCAGTGGTAGTTCCAGATCCTGAACTAGGGAGTAGGATTAATCTTATATGCAAATAGGATCTTCTCATGAGGATACTCTCACTTGAAACTTACAACTGATGGGACTAAACAAAGGTTAGGCTCAGGGTTTTCCTCACTTAATAATGGGCTGTGCGCTGAAAAATATATCATTAGGTGATTTCTTAGTTGTGTGGACATCATAGAGCATCCTTACCCAACCTAGATGTAGTCTATGTGGTATAGACTGTTAGATATGCAAGGCTGTCATCTATGTGATGCATGGCTGTACAAGTATCACTATTGAGCCAGTATTCAACCTGGTACAAGAATCTTGGCTTTTGGCATAGGAAGCTATAATCAAACAGAGGCATTCTAGTGTTTTGGTGTGGGATTAAAGAGATTTGGCAATTAAGATGTCAAGATTGACAGCTACCAGTCTCTCTGGATTACCTTGGATTGGCTCTGTGCAACAGGGAAGTTTTCTCCAAAAGTTCCTGTTTATCATCTCTTTCATGGATAACTTAATTGTGGTCTTGTAAGCTTCCCACTGAATAAACTGGTAACTGTTAAAAGCAAGTAAAATCTGATAACTATCTTGCTGGGATGAAAAGCACTGTAGGCCCTACACTGTGGGGGCAAGCAGAGTGGTAATTAAGGCAGTTTTTTTTTTTTTTTTTTGCGCCAGAGATTGATCCCAGAGGCACTTGACCATTGAGCTGCATTCCCAGTCCTCCTTAATTTTTGAGACAAGGTCCAAGTTGCCGAGGCTCTCACTAAATTGCTGAGGCTGCCCTCAAATGTACAATCCTGCAGCCTCAGCCTCCCAAGTCTCTGGGATTACAGGTGTGTACCAACATGCTCGGCCCCCAGATACATTTTTAAATCTTAGATGACTTTGACCAAACCTGCCCTGTTTGCTGTTTACATAGCCTAAGGTCAAGCTGAACAACTCAGGAGGCCTGGCTCTGGGACATTAGCCCCTTTTTTTTTCAGTTACTGCTTCAGCCCCTAATGAGGATTGGGAGATTTAATCAACTGTTCAATCAAACTTGTGTTTAAAACAAAAGTCAGAATGTTTAACTCCTTTCTTAGTTGAAATAATAAAGAGGGATTGAGTAAAGAGTGATGTGCAGCCTGTCTCAATTTTGCAATTTAAGTTAGGTTGAAAAAGAAGCAGCTTTAAGACCTGTGTTGGTATTTTTATGTACTCAGCAAGGAAAATGAGGGCTTCTATCCAGCTGACTTTGAAAATAATCCTCTTTACAATGTTCTGTCCTCCACTACAAAGTTGGAATCAGAGGCAAGGATGATTGACTTCTGAGTAAGAAGAAAAGGTAGTGATTTTTTGGTACACTGGCAAAATGACAAATCATAGTTTTCAATTCACTTACCAGATGGATTAGTGATAGGAAAACAAGGCTCATCCACTCCTGATGATTTAATCATGTACATGGGTTCTGCCACATTGTTTCTACCTGACTGGGAAAATGGGTTCTGGAAAGGCAGATAGTACTTGTATTTGTGTATCGGTAGCATCAATAATGGGAATAGAATTCTTGCTCTTCATCTGTTCACTAGGTAGTGCCTAAATTCTTATTCAGTCTAAGGTTGTCCTTGGTCAAAGCCCATAGGATAAGATAGGAGTCTTGAAGGTGGTAGGGACTTTTTTTTTTTTTTTGGTAGGGCACTTATTTCAGCAGTTTACCACAAGCCTGAACACAGCAAGCAAGGTCTGGTTTAGCTGAGGGTAATAAAATCATGGACAAGATCAGCCTGAGGAAAGCAGGGCTTCAATGTAACCAAGGTGTCTGACTATTACTGTTCAGTTTTTCCCAGGAAGAATGGGTGAGTCTGCCATGGAGGCATAACTCTAGGTCACTACTTTGCCCCTCAGTTCTGTAATTGTTTTCATAGCTTCAATGGTGAGATCTAGGAAGGAGTAGTTTGAAACAGTGGGTCCACATCCATTTCCTAACAAGAGTAAGACATGGAAAAATCATTTTGCTGACTGAAGTCAGCCCAAGAACAGCTTATCTCCCTGCCTCACACCAGGATCTCTTACTTCTGACTTGAATGAATGGATTAGCCCTAGCAGCCCTTCCTCAGCCCTAACCTAAGTCCTGTCTTCTACCAGAGAAAGTCTGGAGGTTCTAATACCCACTGCCAGCAGCAAAAAGAGGTGAGCATTATCCTGGACAAAACTGTCCATCTGTTACAACAAAAATACACTCAAGTAAGGACAAGACAAAGGGGCAAAGGTAAAAAGGATACAAAACAACTGCACTGTTACCCTTCTAGGTTATGATTTGTATTTTTTTAAACTATCATCATGAATTGAGGTTTTATTTCAAATTTTGTTTTTAGTTGCCTTGCCCCTTTTTAAGTTTTAGAATTCTGTTCTAGTAGCATTATTAAAGGAGTGAGCTGAGCCAGGTTATACATCATATAAGGGAGTTCAAGATCATAGGCTTTACCTTTTTTTTTCTGAGATGGGGTCTTGCAAAGTTGTTCAGGCTGTTCTCACACCTGCGATCCTCCTGCCTCAGCCTGAATTGCTGCATTATAGGTGTGTGCCACCATGCCTGACTAGAGTAGGTGTTTTGGAGGGATAACAGATTCTAGTCACCTTATTGTAGCCTGGCACATGTCTATAATCCCAGCAACTATATAGACTTGAGGGAAGAGGATCAGAAGTTCAAGGCCAGCCTGTGCAACTTAGCAAGACCATGGATAAAAAGGGCTTGGGATGTAATTCAGTGGTAAAGCACCCCTGGGTTCAATCCCCAGTACAGGGGGCGGGGTAGGGAGAGCAGTCACTAACTTGTGGACAGGTAGAGAACTAGGCCAGGTGACACTTCCTTTTGTCCTTTTAAAATATCTGATTATCAAGCCTCCACAGCTCTCCACCCACTTTCCCACTGGAGTTCTGCCT